ATTTCATCACGGGCCACATCAGCATTATGGCTGCTCTCAAAGGGCCGGTTGTAACTGTAAGACTATATACAAATACATATATAAATATATATATAAAATAATGTATTATATTACAGTATTGCCTCTGCATTGGATTATTATCCGATAGGGTAATAACTTCATAATTAACTAAGTCTGAAAGTAGAAGTCTAGGGCAAATAATTATAAGTCTCTTCAGTGAGAATGTCACAAAATGATTTAAAAAGAAAAGCCACATTCTGGAAAATAAGTGACATTTAAAAAGAAAGTAAGATTTTGAAAAAAAAGTAACATTTTGAAAAAAAAGTTAAATTCTGAGAAAAGGGCAAATTCTGAAAAAAAAGGGATATTTTGAATAAAAAAAGTCAAATTCGGAGAAAAAAGTCAAATTTGAGATGCATTGTGGGACATGTAGTTTATTGGCAACGAACTTCTGTAAATCATCATGTAACCGTATAATTAACATATAATATTCTTTGCAAGCTCTTGTGGTGCCACAGAAAATGAAGTCATGGGCCGGATTTGGCCCCCGGGCCTTGAGTTTGACACCCCTGCTGTACCGTGTTTCTTGGGATAGTCATAGGTTACACGTTGAAACTAAACTAAGCTGGGACAGCAATAACTAAAGCCACAGCCACATTGCAATGGCAATAGAAACAGAAAAAGCCGTACCACTCTACCCATGATCTTTACTTTAATAACAAAGCTGCGTAGTATTGAGATACGTCCCCAGCTGACTCAGAAAGCGACTCAGGTTCTGGTCCAGGCTCTCGTCATCTCACGCCTAGACTACTGCAACTCCCTCCTGGCTGGTCTACCTGCATGTGCCATCCGACCTCTGCAGCTCATCCAGAATGCAGCGGCTCGTCTGGTCTTCAACCTTCCTAAATTCTCCCACACCACTCCGCTCCTCCGCTCCCTTCACTGGCTTCCGGTAACTGCTAGAATCCACTTCAAGACACTGGTACTTGCTTACCATGCTGCGAATGGATCTGGCCCTTCCTACATCCAGGACATGGTTAAACCGTACACCCCAGCGCGTGCACTACGCTCTGCATCAGCCAAACGACTCGTTGCGCCCTCGCTGCGAGGGGGACCCAAATTCCCATCGGCGAAAACACGTGGGTTTGCTGTCCTGGCTCCAAGATGGTGGAATGAGCTCCCCATTGACATCAGGACGGCAGATAGCTTGCACATCTTCCGGCGCAAACTGAAAACTCATCTCTTTCGACTCCACTTCGAGCGTTAGAACTATTAACGAAGCACTTTTATACTAATAAAGGACTGGCTTACCTAAAGCCAGTGGAGTAGCACTTGAAATGTTTGGCTCTATGAAACCTGATGTACTTATATGATTCTGTTTTCTTCAAGGTTGTGTCTTCCTGGTCGAATGTACTTATTGTAAGTCGCTTTGGATAAAAGCGTCAGCTAAATGCAATGTAATGTAATGTATTGAGGAGAAGAGTTACAACTACACTACTCTTTCACTGAGTTTAACACAAATAACACTGATTATTGCAGGTTTAAGATGAGAGCTGGAATAAGGATTGAACAACTACAATCTAAGTTAAGGTTAAGGTATAAGATCTAGGCTATAGTCACATTAAATATGTTTTAATTGTAGCTAGGTGAGGAGTCCTGCTCTATAATAAAAGGGCACACTACCCATTACTATTGCCATTAAACATTGACACTGGACGTAAATTCTGAGATGCAGAATCGAACACAGTTCCAAGGAATAATGGGCTTCTTTTATAGCAATGATGATGAAAGGTGGTTGTAAAAACCTGTAATAATAATATTCTTCTTTGTTCATTTCCTATTAGTCCAATACTAAAATGTGAAAAATATAGTCGGAAAATGTGTTTCAAATAGTTTGCATTCAGCCAACAGAATACAAAAACACTCATAGTGCCTTTCCGCCCACATATAAACAGATAGTCATTATCTAAACTGACTTGCTGACAAAGGTGTTGGTACATCTATTAGTCTCAATGTGTTAATATAATTCATCATAACCAGTGGCAACTCTACTGCCTCGTGTCTCTCTCTATCTCTCTCTATCTCTCTCTCTCTCTCTCTCTATCTCTCTCTCTATCTCTCTCTCTCTCTCTCTCTCTCTCTCTCTCTCTCTCTCTCCTCTCTCTCTCTCTCTCTCTCTCTCTCTCTCTCTCTCTACATAGCAGTTGCCATGGGAATGAGTGGATCACACTGACCTAATTAGAAAGCCATGCAATGATGAAATATGCATAACAGGCCATTTAGTGCCATACAGTAGGGACAGCAGGTCAGAGCTAGCATTAGCATGAGGACAACCTAAAACAGCGGGTTGGAACCGGTCCTCTGATATGGGAGAGGGAAGATGTTTGGTTCAACCGTCAGTCACAGAGAGGCTCACTGGGAAGATTAGCAATGGATTCTGGGAGGAAAGCGAGTGGAAAGAGATGAGAGGGAGGGTATGGCATGAAGGAGACACTGTAGAAAGATCAAGAGAATATGGAGGGAAAAAATGTGCAAGAGTGTATGCAATTGGATGTGAGGTTTAAGGTAAAGCAGAGCAGACATGCACTAAATCCCCGTTGAGCCACACTTCACTGTATTCAACAGGAAGTAGTGAATCCACTTCCTTACTTTAAGCCACTCAATGTAACATAAATGTCCTGGTAAGCCATTTTTAGGAATTCAACATTTTCAAAGTAAGTTATTTTGGACCTAAAACTCCTTCTTTTAGTGTGCTTGAAATAATAATCATGAATTATTTTCATTTAACAAAGAGAAAATGCAAAAGACAAAAAATAAAGACTTGATAATAGTATTCCTGATACTGGATATTATTGAGGTCTTATTGATGTTCTTCCAATGCAGCTACAGTATTTAAATAGAATGAAACTCTATCTTTGGAAGAGATTTATTTTTCATTTTCAAGGACGGTTCCTCTGTGCTGCACGAGGATGAGTTGTTCTCTAGGGTACAAGTCACATAATCACAATTAGCTGGTGCAAAGACAGATAACCCACAAGAGATAAAAGTGTGTTCTTTAAACTTTTTGCCGTGAGTGTCTTAACACAACTTTTTATAGTGTGTAGAATTCAGACAATAGATGACAGTGGAAAGAAATGTGCAAGTCTTAAGGCAGATAAAGCCTCTGAAGAACCATTCAGACAGCAAAGAAAAAAGTTTCCCAAATTAAAATCTCCAGACTTTGTATCAGGGTTCAATTGAAAAACATAACTGATGAAAGGCATCAAAGAATGCAGACGGGAAAGATTTGAATATGAAGTAAGTCTGGATATTACAGTTTGGAAGTGAATCATTTTTCATCTTGCATAAAATCAGTCCATGATCTTATCCATTATGGCTATACCTGGTGCAGAGGCTAAGCACAGACTTTTAAAGTGCCCAATTAATGATTTTTATTTAATTAAATGTGAAGAATGATGACTAATTTGTGTGATAATGATACTAGCAAATGGATAGACGATGATTCTTGAGATTGAGGCAACCAGCTGGGTATGTGTGTGCATGTTAGGGATATGTCTCCTCACTCAAAAGCGTCATTAACCCTGAGGCCCAAAGTACAAGAGAAGGGTAACTCCCAGCTGTGACTCAGTGTTTACCGAGTAAATGTGGAGCCTTGCAGAGCTAAAGAATGAGCAAAACACTCAAGGAAAGAGAAACCAAATCTATAGAAACAAATCTGTACAGCGGTGATTAATACACCTTTAATATTTAAATTGGGAACATGTTAACACAACCACAAATCTCATTTGTTATTTATCACTTTTCCAATATTTCATATACTGTTTCCCACATCTAAAGTTATTTTTTTTGTGTTGTTTTGTTGTGGTTGAGTGAAAACAACTCAGAGATCCCTGTTTATGTGCATAATTGAAATGATTTCGTAAAACACTGTTTGCTGAAGCTTTCTCAATCAGAAGCCATCCAGCTGATTTAGAATAGAATAGAATCGTTTAATGTCATTATACATGTGCAATGAGATAAATAAATGCTTCTCCCTTTCAAGGGTGCCATCAAAACAAAATAAACATCACAACATAAGACAACAAATACACGCAGCATACATACTTAGGAATAAGGAATAAAGTGCAGTAATTATTTCCAGGAGTATAAAAATAAAATCTATAATGTAATTAATATTAATAGTATGTATTTAATAATAGTGATATATAGGTACAGAGTCACATTTATTTCACATGCAGGATGATTAAGAGGTATGACTTTCAGGTGTTAAGAGCAATGATGGCTCTTGGGAAAAAAAATATCAAGTGTAAGTGAATAATTTGGAATACCTGCCTCATATGCAACATCCAATTGTCTTTACATTTTCAAATAGAAAAGTAGATTTACTTTAATCAACCACTGTAATAGGAACACAGCCATGTGGATTATTTGTAGTGCTAAGAGTGCGAACAAACCACACCTGAATGTAGATACGAGGGTGGAAGTTCATATCTGCAGGGCCTTTACTGTACGTCAAAGATGACTCTCTCACCTCTCCTTGATATTAGGTAAGACAGACTCTTTAAACACGGGAGGTGTTAAAGTTGATTCTATCTGACAAGCTCTTTTTCGGGAACCAAAATGCCCTTAACCTGGATTTTACCTGTGTTGCATGCGTAGAGGGTGTCACACAAAACTAGTGGTTAACTATAACAGAAGCAGTTTGAACACAATTTCTGGATTGCTTATAGTCAAATGGTTGCATCCGTTTGAATGGGACGTAATTGTATTACTCATGTTCATACGAGAAACATGCAATGTTCAATCAACGTAGAAATAATCAGGAGCTATAACCCCTGTATTACATTACACGCTGTCATTCGTCCCCACTCTAACTTCCAAAGGAAACACATCAAAACAGCTCTACTATAAAGAATGGTGGTGCCATGACGCATAGCGCTAACATTGTATTCAGATGGAAAGATGCTTTCAAAAGATAAACAATGGTGTCCTTGACTTACCTCGATCGCTGTCGTACAGGTAGGCGAACTTGTCCCACTTGTAGTACTCGATAAGGCTGAGGAGGGGCCCTTTGATATCGGGTCTCATCTGGATGATAAACTGCTGATTCCCATCCAGAGGGAAGCTGGGCGTAATGAAGGACACATGGAGCGTCCCACAAAATGACGTGATGGTGTTGACAGACTTCTTGTCGTAGAATCCGAAGATGGCGTACACTCCTCTTGAGAACTGTGAACAGACTGAAGCAGAGGAAACAGGATTGTTAAGGTGGGTTGCTTGAGATTTAGTCAGAACTATCACCATTTTCCATTCTGAAACAAACTCTTGCTACATTTATTTGTGAAGCTTTTACAGCTTTTCTGCAATAAAGCATTCATCAAAGACACTTATGACAAACCTTTATAGCACATTAGCGCCGCAAACAACTGTTAAGGGTCGCCACTCTTTTCAGGCTGATTAACAGATAGCTTTCCATTAGCTCTGCCAAGGGAGTGCTTGTATTCAACGGTAAAAGCTCCTCTGTACGCTTGTCACTCTGTGGAACCTTTATGAGTTGCCCTATGACCTTTTTGATACAGTGGGAATAAGCGAGGTAGAGTATGTCAAGCATTCACCTAAACCGCACATCAATTCTTTATATGGGATATCCATCTATGCTGGACCATGATACGCTGTTATGGACGCTGTTATGGACGCTGTTATGGACGCTGTAATGGCGCTGTCTTATGTTTGATTGCTTCTCAGGCAAAACACATTTTAGGCCTCTCCTATGGAAATAAATGACAGGAAAGATACAGTGCGCAGCTGCACCATCACCTATAGGCAAGGGCAGCTCATATATCATATTTAATACACATTCTTTGGAAGCCATTAGACGTAAGTGATCACTTTTGTTAGGATCCTTTTAAGGTATGCATTTATGTTGGCGCTTTGTGTTTGCATCAGACCTTTTGCATTACATCCACATCTTGTTGACTCTGCACAATCACCTTTGTTCAATAATGTATGACCCCTTCTCAGGTACATAGAGTTCAATACATTTGCTGGCCTCAAACATTCATTATGCACAGGGCAGAAAAGGGCTCTGTGCACTCAAGATAAACATGAATACTGAACGTCTCAGTAATCCTGAGGTTGCATTGCACCAGGGTCAGCAGATTGGCATGTTGCTTGTAAATGTGTATTGATGAAATGTGAGCTAATCAGGGTTATTGACTTGGACATATGTGTCCTCCAATGTAATTAATCTAATGAGTCATTTCCTTTTGCCCAATATAACTGGGATGACTTGCTGACAAAGGGAACTGGAGTCCATATATCATATATTAGCTAGCTTGGCGTAAGTACTGTAGGCCCTCTGCCTCTTCTGTTATGACCATGGCAGCTATCATTGATCAATCGAACATGCTGGGTATACAGAGGGAATGCTGTGGTCTTAGCAACATGGAAATGAGAGAATGTGAACAACAGATTCACATGGAAGCTTTACTCTACAGATTTCTATTTTAAAATGATAGGTTTTGAAAAGGACTTCAGTTGTGTACACAGTGAATACTCTTAACAGCCATTTTTCCGTCCTGTTAAGCACCGATCTGCTTCGTTAGTGAAGTTTTGGGCAACATGGACAGCAGCTTATTAAAATGCATCTCTGACAAATGTACCCAGGACTCTGCAGTATTTTGTCTTAGTCTTTTAACCAACTGTGTTCCTGCTAAACAAGACAGACTCACTTGGACCATGAAGAACTTAAATCAAACTCAAACCACCAATTCCATCTGTCTCCAATAGAGGGGTGAAGTTGGAGGATTTATTTCAGACAAACATGGTTCCTTAAGTAAAGTGAAATGTATGACAGTGACTGACAGACAGTGCATGTCAATGGCTTTGATACAAAAGACAAGCAACTGATTACAACTATCTGGTTACTTAATAAGAAGTATAATACAACAAATAAATACTAAAGAATAAAACAAATATATCTGCACTATAAATCAATTGACTTTCAGATTAGTTACATAAATGGTTACATTTTAGATTCATTTTGTTAGCAGCACCATGTCGAGGTATTTTTATTTCACCACATCTCCTTCGCAACGGGGGCTAAGGCTTATGGGTATTGTAGTATTTGAAGCTATTTGCCCATCCGAGGTACTGGAATTGGAGAAATTGAACCTCAAGATGTCAGCTTAAACATGATATTGACCAATCAATTCAATTCAAAACCTTTATTTATCCAGCTAAAATCCCATTGAGATCAATAATTTCAAGGGAGACCTGCAGCAGTAGGTTCCACAAGAAGACATACAAACATAAACAACAGAACAACAAAAGGACATCATACAGCAAAATGTACAGGGATTACAATTTACATATCTAACCACATGTACAGGTACCAACAGCATCTGATTTTGTAGCATCCAACCGAGCTTTAAAAACATGTAGTGGTACTAGCTTGGTAATTTTCCATTCTTTTTGCAGACTGTTCCATGTTAGTGGAGCTGCACATCTAAAAGCTTTCTTCCCTAAGACAGTCCTAGCACTTGGCACATTTAATAAAACCACAGCATGCGATCTCAGGTAATAAGTACTTTCAATTCGCAGAGAGATCCGGGAGCAGATATAAGGTGGTAGTTTATCCAACATGGCTTTGTAAATGAAAAAGTACCAGTGACTGAGCCTCCGTACAGTAAGTGATGGCATAACCGCCTTGGTATACAGGGCACAGTGATGCGTAAGTGCTTTACAATTTGTCAAAAATCTCAGTGCACTGTGATACGCAGCATCTAACTTGCTCAGGTAATTGGCAGGTGCATTCATATATAACAAATCACCATAGTCCAGCACAGGTAAAAAGGTCACAGTGACTAGCCTTTTCCTGGCCTCAAGCGAGAAACAGGACTAATCAATTGTAATGAAATAAATTAAGTTTAATGTTATAATGAAACATGTATTAACTATTGCTTGTTAATGTGTACTTGGCAGCCATACTAAATGTACCAATTATTGGCAAGTGAGCCAAAATACAAATGAGTATTCGTTGTATGCTGTTTGTGCACAAATAACTATTTTGTGATACATTGATAGCATTATTTATTCACGTCAAAATCAGATTTTGTTCTTATAGACTTGGTATTCAAGCCATTGAGCCCATTGTCAACAAGCAGCTTCTCTATCCTTGAGTATACTTCAACTCTTGCTGTCTTTCATCCCCCGGAGTCCAAAACAAATGCAGAGCTCATTTATAATTGGTCATAATATATGGGGGCAGCTTTCATCCACTGCCAGTATCATTGTGCTGCCAAAATCTTTACCGTTCCATCAACTCAAGCAATTAAATGTTCATCACAGCAGTCCGGGACAAACCGTTAACGGCAGTCCGATAACCTCCATCAGTCTGTGGCACCGTTCCTAATCTTTTTAGCAGCAGACCGTGGCTGGGGATGAGACCACGGAGAGATCAGAGCTCACTAATCTAATTTCACTTTTGTCTAACCGGGAGCTAATAGAACACAAAGCGTTTCGTTCGTTTAACCGTCCCAATCTAACTGGAAAATGATTTTGTTCAGATCAGTGAGGAGGAGGAAACATTCCTCAGAGGATACATGTAGAACAAGTCTGGGCACAATGACATTTTTTGTCTTTAATTTAGTTTCATAAATACATTTTTCAGTAGTTTTTAGGAAAGATTTTCCTTGGAATACTGCCAACCTACAGTAATAGGAATTACATATTACATTAACCCCAATTCAATCTTCATTATTTTTTTTATTTTGTAACTTCAACCAACCAAAACACTTGTTTGTCTTTTGCACAGTATGCTTTGGAGAGATAAGAAGATATCTTTACAATTAATTGATGATAGTTATTCCTTAGGCTTCCATGCTCATCCATAGGGTCATTCTTAGTATGCAAATGTATAATATGCAACTATACACACATATGTATAATCAAACAAACAGCTAGATATGTATTCTATGACTACAGAAATGATCCTACAGCTTCATCTGTCAGTTAGCTATTAAACACCAATAACTTTAAAAATGATATATTGTTGAAGTTCAAACGACTAACCAGTGTATAAACTAGTTAGAATTAGCTTTTAGTTAGAACTCAACCAACTACAACAATAACATACTGCTTACATGTGAATGTATCATCAACCAAAAACATTTAATAACACAAAGAGGTGCCCTTACTGTGGTTTGGTACATATGCTGATAATACTGTAATTTCCATTTACGTTATTTTGCCATGTTCATTGGACAATATTAATTCAAGAGAAATATTTGAACACTCCTTCCCCCACTGACTGTAAGAAGCCATTTTCAATTAGTGATTTTCCCCGGTTCAAATCAGTTTGCTTTCATTGATTTGCAGACGATGAAAAGTGTCTCTGTCTACACAAAGCTGATGGACTACGTATAAAGTCTGTTCACTCCAATGGAATATTTGATATGCACATTCTTTATTTCACAATAGACTTGAAATCCTCTTGTGTTCTCCAGCATTACCTACAGATGGAACAGGAGTTCACGTGAGTTCATGTCATATTCTGTGTTGCACTACATGACAGTGATGGGACTTGTATGCCGTGCGAAGCTCCCATCGTTACAAAGGTATTCATCCTTTCTTGTCTTGACATCACAGAACAGAAGTAATATATTCCAGCACACCTCACTGCAGCCCCCTGAAGCTAACAGAGCTGTAAAGTTTCCTCCTGTCCATGTGTCACATCCGTCCATTGTCATGTTTCTAAAGCTTCCTTAGCTGGGCTGTCTCTCGCTGGTGCGCTTGCTGAGTTTGCCCGGGATTAAAACTCTCTGAGCTCATGCTTAGAGACTGGATTTCCCCATGACTGTGCAGCAGCTTATGCCAAAGCGAACAGTTTGACAACATGGTACTTTATTACCAAATATGCTAATTCACATCCAGAAGCACCGCTCGTTTCTCCATGCAGTGGCCGTTAAGAGGGGACTTTGCTGAATCTGCAATGTGACGGGATAAGAAAGTCTTTTTTTTGTAATTGGCAAGACATATGTGGGCCTGTAAAATAGAGAATGTATGAATGTTTAATTAAGGAAGACATGCCATAAACAGCAACGTATAGAAACAGAGACTATAGTGGAAAAAGCCATTATGCCTCCGTCCCATTTGACCGCGTTTCAATAAAACAGGGAACATACGCAAAAAATAAAAACTGCAAACACAGAATAAATGACACTGACTGAGTACACCTTTT